GCTGGCACTTCAGTTCGCGTCGGGGACTTGGACGGGCGTGGCGTCGCTACGGATAAAAGCGCGATGGTTGTCGTGGCGACGGCGGTGGCGATGGCGACGGTTGCGACGGCGAGGCCGACGGCGGTGCCGATGCTGATCCCGCCGATGACGATAGCGGTGCCCGCGCGCTGGCGATGCAGGTTTTGGAAGGATTTTGGCATTCGCGCAAGGCCGACGCTCGCGAGTTGCCCGCGCGGCGCGTCTGGACAGGCCCCCCCCCCCCCCCCGGGGCGCGCGCAAAAGGTTTCCGAATGGTCTCGACGCGCGCGCAAGAGGCCCGTTTTCTTTTATTCTCGAATCTGATGAAAACGTTGAAAGACGACCGCTGGTTTTCTTCAAAATGCGAGAGGGCGCGCGCGCAGACAATGACTGAGGCAACTGGTGAGAAGGAGCGCGTGGCGTGCTTTGCCTTGCCGCCTTGATCGGCAGCAGTGCTTCGATCCCTCCCAGGATTCGAGCACCGCGACGAGTCGAAGCGCCGCCGGCAGCGCCTCGCGCCAGGCACCAGCACCAAGTACGCGCCCAGAGGTTCCCCACTGAAGCTCAGAAGGACCACGAGAGGCTTTGGTCTCAGACCCACGTCCTACGACGAGGAGTTCGAGACAAGCAGTAACCTGCTCACAGCCAAACATGTTGATGACATCAATATGGCCGGCGCTTGAGGGCACCATTGACAAGTGTGTCAAGTGCGTCGAGGACACAGTTGGTCCGCGCAAACTCAACAAACATACATATACCAAGTGCGATGTGAGGCGCACAAACGATGGGGGCGGCAATGTCACATTGGACCTAGATGAATACATCAAATAGCTCCGTCCTATAATACAACATCCTGAACTCACCGGCGCCGACGCTGACGCCAAGGCATCCCAGATGGTTGCAGACCTGTTCGTCAGCCTCAGAGGCGCATTGGCTCACGCACTAATCACCCAAGTGTGGTTGATAGTATATGTGGTCTATCTCTACGCCGTGCCCCAGGACCGACCAATATATAGGTGCGACGACTGAACGCGATCACCAGGAATTTGCAGGCCTGCCTTAAGAAGACCGCTAATCATTCGATGACTCCAACGGGCGAAATTGACCTGCACAGCGACTCCGGCGATCGACGCCTGAGTGGACATGCCGACGACGACGTCAAAGGCCATGGTATTCGCGGGACAAACCTGCTACGGCGTGGAACCACGCCATCCGTTAAGCCTGTCGTCCACTTGATCGATGCGCGCTGCAAGTCTCGCCGCTTGCAGGTTCGCTCAAGTTATTCAGCAGAGACTTGCAGCAGCCCACAACTTGGAGGACTGCTATCCCACGATCGTGTCTCTGCACGAGCTCCATGCAGGTCCGTTGGCCCCATTCAGTTAAAATGCATACTTGAGTTGGGTGGCCTGAGCATCAAGGTCATCTGACCTTGACCATAGATGCTGAATATGATTGCAAGTCCTTGCCAAGCAAAGACCTGAAGAAGTCGACTGAGATCATGGGGCGAGGAATCGTGCATAGCATTCAGTGGCGTGACACTCGCGGCATGACCACAGACGGTCACACAAAGGGGAGCATTGACAGAGATATGCTCCTACAGGTCATGGGAGGTACGCAATCCTTCAAGCATGGTTGAAAACGTCATATTCCTTATCGGGCTTGCCAGACATCTTCGTCCGTGGCCGCCTGAGGAGTAAGCGCATGCACAGCAATGTACTTGCAAGGCAAGTTGCTTGCGGGTCCGCCTTTCTTACGGCCCGCCTTTGGCTGCCTGTTGTGCATAGTATCTGCTGTAACTGCTGTATAGTGGCGGCGGACTCACGCTTCGTCTCCCTTCCTACCGATTCTAAAGTGAGCTGGGACACGGGCGAGAGGTAACGAGCGTTTGTCCGCGGCCGTTTGTGCTCAAGCGGCCGATTTCTGACTGCGCCTCAGTGCGAGCCATGCGATTCGTCATTGAGACCGAAAACATCCTTCGCTTGAGATGGCCCGTCGTTCCCGCGACGATCTCCTACTACTGGGACTATCGCTACTACGGTACAGCAGAGCTGGAGCTGTGCTTCGCCTAAGGCGAAGCTTCCGGTCGGGCCTACCGGCCCCCTTCAAACTGCTGGAGCCATCTTGGGCGGTCTTGGGGCAGTCTCGAGGCCTTCTTGGGCCGTCTTGGGCGACCTCTTGGGCCGCCTGGGGCGCCCCGGGGAGGGGGGGTGACCACAGCCACTGGGCAAAGTGAGGCCCCCCCTGGCGGCCCAGGCCCCCTTCCCCATACGTATACGCACACACACACAGATATACACACATATGTTTGTATGTCTGTATGTATGTATGTATGTATATATATATACACATACGCACACATTATGTAAATGCATCGCCCCCCCCTGACCTGGCCCGGCCGACCCCGCAACCATCGGCGGAAACCCGCTGATACCCCCCCCGTCTCGCTCCGCAGAGGCGGCCCGGAGAGGCCAAGAGGGTGCCAAAACGAGCCAGCAGGGTTCCAAGAGGCCCCCAAGACGGCGCAAGAAGGTCCCGAGCTGCCCAATATGGCCCAAGAGGACTCCCAGAGCATTCCCAAGAGGGACCCAAGAGGCCCGAATCATTCAATTCCTGTGGGAAACGTACATGTCTATCATGTACGACTTTTCAGCTTCCGCGGCTTTCAAGATCCAAGAGGCTTCCAAGAATTCCCCAAGACAGCCCAAGACGTTCCCAAGAGGCCCCCGAACCAGCCCAAAAGGGCGCCAAGACGGCCCAAGGGACGCCTAACTCGGCCAAATTGGCCCCAAGACGGTGGCCAAGACCGTCCAAGAAGGCCCCGAATCGCCCAAGACGGCCCAAGATGGTCCCAAGACGGTCCAAGAAGGCTCGGAGGCGCCCCAAGAGGCTTCCAGGAGCACTCCCAGGAGGACCCCAAGAAGCCACACTCGTTGAACACCCACGGGGAAGCGTACATGTTTGCCATATGCGACATTTGGGGCCTTCACGGCTTTAATGACGGCCCAAGAGGCTCCCAAGACTTGCCCAAGAGAGCCTAAGACATCCCCAAGAGACCCTCAAGACAGCCTAAGAGGGGCAAAGACGGCTCAAGGGCTACCCAAGACGGCCCAAATTAGCTCCAACATGGGCCCCAAGAAGGCCCAAGAAGGCCCCGAGCCGCCCAACCAAGATTGCCCAAGATGGCAGCAAAAAGGTCCAAGAAGGCTCCGAAACGTCCCAAGAGGCCTCCAAGAGCACTCCCAAGAGGTTCCAAAGAGACCGAATTCGTTACAGTCCTGTCGGCGAAACGTATACGTAAAGCGTCTACGATTTGGGGGCCTTCACGGTTTTGAAGACGTTTCAAGAGGCCCCCAAGGCTTCCCCAAGCGAGCCGAAGACGCTCCCAAGATGCCCCCAAGATAGCCCCAAAGGGCGCCAAGACGGCCCAAGGGCCGACTATATATGCATACATACATCTAATATACATACGCTTACATTAGCAGATACATGTACCTATACATATACATAAACACGCACGCCGGTTCATATATTCATATATGTCTATAAGTTTAAGTATGCATGCGCATACACTCATACAGTTATCTACACATATATACATTTACGTATACGTCCACACATCTATTTACACATACGTCTACCTATACATACACAGATATACGACGACGACGCCTTCTTGGCCTATTCTTAGGTCACTGTGGGATGGCCTAGGGAGGTCTTGGAAGTCACGTGGGCCGTTGGCGTAGTTCTTGGGCGCCCCAAAGGGATGTGTCACAAAATATACAAATTTCGACCGTGAAGGAACCTAAGCGCGCGCGCGAAGCGGGCGCGTGGTTCTAGTATATGTGTATATATACACATTGTGTTGCGAAGCTATACGTTTTTTTTGTTTTTTGACACTCGATTTCAAATCCTTTCAACACCGAAGGTTGTTCAAGGATTTCGGCATGCGCGCGCGACGACGCGCGCGTGCGCACTTCGTTTCTTTGCAAGGGTTCTTCAAAAACTTATGACATGTGATAAACGAGTGTGCGCGCACATCCTACTTTTTTGCAGAGGAAGGCGGGGGGCGGTCGAAGCGGGCAAGGCTGGAATGTTATGAACTCATATTTAGGATGGACGATGGGGCAGAATCATGTGCTAACTGCAACACAAAGAGGTGTACCAATAAAGCCGGGGGGGATAGTCTTTTCCCTATTTAGAAATGAGAATATATGTTGTGCATGTTGGGTGGAGACGGGGCTGCCACATAGCCGCCAGAGTGAAGACGCGGCCCGCACGACGGTCGGCGACGAGGCGGCGACGGGGCGGCGAAGGCGACCACTTAGCCGCCGGACCGAAACCGAAGACACGGCCCAGTTCCTCAGAAAAGAATTGCTTTTTAACCCTGAGCGCAAACACTTGCGGGGACGTACGTCTATTTTTTCGGCGGGAGCATCTGGGGGCTGCTTCTGGGCCCTGGGGCTGTCAAACCGAGTGGGGATGAGAAGGTGTCCCAGGGAAGCGGTTAGAGGGTTTCGGGGGCCGACGACTCGGCATAGTCGCCGGATGTCTGGATACAGCTGTTGGCTCCCCCCCACGTCGCAATAGATTGCCGCATCGCCGAGGCGTCGCCGATGCATCCGCGAGCAGGCGCGGTCCACAACCAGATCTTCCTCGCCTGGGCTCCTGCGGCGCTCCAGCCCCGCTCAGGAGGCTCCCGAACCGCTGTTGGCGTTGCAAACGCCCATCAACGCCCAAAACTCCACCGCCAAGGCAACCCCGATGTCAACATTCAAACTGAGGGGCACGGGGGTCTGAACACAGCAGCGTTGTTCATTACAGTCGACCCGTATAGTAAGGATGGGCCCAGCCGCCTTCGCTGTCTGCGCCCCGCTCACCAGGTATCGGCATGGCCGTCCTAGGACCTTGCACTCTTACCGTGCCTCCTTTCTATACGGGTTGCCTGTATGCCCAGTGGGCGCTCTTGACGTCAGCGGCGGAAGGTGGATGCCATCATCGGCTTCTGCAAGATCCGGAACTTCACGGAGGCAACGATCGTGCTCAAGGAGCAGGCCGCGGCCCGCAGCAGAGACTGTGCGATCCTTCGCCTGGCGGGGGCCCGAGGAGGGCCCGAGGGCCCGGACGTCGTGATTCTGCGGGCAGCAGGGGCCGACGGAGGTTGCGGCCCGCACGGTGTGTGTCCCGCCTGAACGTCGGGTTTTCCTATTTGATTTAGTGTTGTCGCTCCAGCTCCGCCTTATCCCAGGGAGTCCCCCCTCTTAGTCTATGGAGTCTGGCCTCTTGTACTGGGGCTTGGGTGTGAATGCGCGTTTTTTTTCTCAAACACACTTTTACAGCTGCCCGACTCTCTTCTGCATGATGTTGTCATGGCTACCTCTCTTCTGCATGGTGTTTTCATGGCTGCAGTTTCGGCTCCCGCCACACCCACCCTGAGGCAAAACCTCGGGATTTTCGGCGCCCCGCCGCGGTTTGAAGGCCTGGATTGGGCCTCGACGCAAGGTCAGGCACCTTTTTGAGTTCTGGGTTTCCTTCGGGGGGCGGTCGCGCCTCGTGAACTCTCGAGGGAGGACGTCCCTCTCCTAGGCTGGCTCGCGGCACGATGTGTGTGTGTGTGTGTGGCCCGCTGTTGCGTCGGGTATTCTATGTTATCGAGGGTTGTCGCTCCAGCTCCGCATGCCCCCAGGGAGTCCCCTCTCTTAGTTATCAAGTCTGGCCTCACTTACTGGGGGCGTGGATGTAAATGACCTGTGCGGGCCCACTGGGGTCCCCCGATCAATGGGTGCGGTGCGATAGCAGCTTGTGCGCTTGAGTTTGGCCTCCTCCCAGCGCCACCCCCAAAGCCGCGCACCACGGGCCACTCTTGACCTGAGTTACCCGTGCGTGCAGCTGAGAAGGGGCCACATACGTCCAATGGCGGCCAACATGTTGCTAGACAGTTTTGCATCGATGCTCTAGGGTTGACGTGAAGCCGAAGGCCTCCCTGGAACCTGCAATAAAGGCAGTGGTGGCGTATGTTGGTGGCTCATGTTTGTACCCTCCTCTCGCTGCGCGCCCGTGCGGCTCGACCGGTGCTCTGGCGCCTGCTTGGCACGAGGGCGCCCGCTGCGGGGGTCTCCCCTTCCCCTTATGTGTTCGACAACCTGTTTTCCGGACGGGGCACGGTCAAGAGCTTTGGCTTAGCATCTCGATCCGCCAGGTTTGGCCTACCACGCTTCGGCGCGACACGCTGAGCATGCCCCAGTCCCCAGAGCGTGGGGTGCTCTATACCCGCTCGCGGGGCATCGCGTGTCGCCGGGGCCGCCCCCGCGACAAGCTAGGCAGAAGTTCCCGACCGTAGAATCGCTTCGTCTTCCACAGAGGGTGGGGCGCTCTGCGACAACAGTTTGGTCCTTTCCCCCTCCTGCTCCTCCTCCTCCTCCTCCTCCTCCTCCTCCTCCTCCTCCTCCTCCTCCCTCTCCCCTCCTCCTTCCTCCTCCCTCCTCCTCTTCCTCCCTCCTCCTCCTCCTCCTCCTCCTCGCCTCCCCCTCCTCCTCCTCCTCCTCAATCTCCTCCTCCTCCATCTCCTCCTTCCTCTTCCTCCTCCTCCTCCTCTCTCCTCCCCCTCCTCCTCCTCCTCCTCCTCCTCCTCCTCTCCCTCCTTGCTCTTGCTACAGCAGTGCGCTGTCGATCGTTCTCTTCCCCTCGCGCCCCGCGCTCGCAGGCCCGCTCTCGCCCAAAGCGGGGCGGCACCGGCCCGGCCCGACTTCACGCGGGCCGGGGGCGGAGGCCAGCCGGCCGAGGGTCGGTAGATGAAAGGGTAGGGAGGCGGAGGAGGAGGCGGAGGAGACGGGAGGAGGAGGAGGAGGAGGAGGAGGAGGAGGAGGAGGAGGAGGACGAGGAGGAGGAGGAGGAGGGAGGAGGAGGAGGTGGAGGAGGAGGAGAGGAGGAGGAGGAGGAGGAGGAGGAGGAGGCGGAGGAGGCGGAGGAGGAGGAGGAACAGTGGGGGACGCAGAGCAGTAGCATGTCCCGTTCTTTTCGAAGAGGGCTCGCTGCTGGCGCTGCCGCGGGTGCTGCCCACGTGGGACGAGCAGGTCGCCTGCCCAACGGCGGCCGCTGGTTTGGGACAACCTGTTCTATTGGGATTGTGCCAGCTTTTTCCTTACAGGTGCCGCGGCGCTGTTCCGCGGGCGCCGTCCGGCGATCCAGGGGGAAGTCTGTGCGCCCCCCCGGGGGTCTGTGGGAGGGAGGAGGAGAGGAGGAGGTGGAGGAGGAGAAGGAGGAGGGACCATGTTGCGTCCTGGGTCCTCGCGCGCAGGTCATGCTCTTCGTGAACCAGGCCGCGCCCCTCGTGCCGAGGGGGGCGGGGAGTTGGGGGCGTCCTGGAGCGATCGCGGGGGAAGGAGGGAGGCACAGTGCATGTCGTGAGTGGTGCGTGTGTTTGTGTGTGTGTGTTGTGTGTGTGTGATTGTGTGTGTGTGTGTGATTGTATGTGTATGTGTGTGTGTGCGTGTGCGTGGTGTGCGTGTGAGTGTGCGTGTGCTGTGTGCGTGTGCGTGTGCGTGTGCGTGTGCGTGTGCGTGTGCGTGTGCGTGTGCGTGCGCGCGTGTGCGTGTGCGTGTGCGTGTGCGTGTGCGTGTGCGTGTGCGTGTGCGTGTGCGTGTGCGTGTGTGCGTGTGTGTGTGTGCGTGTGTGTGTATGTGTGTGTGTGTGTCTCTCTCTCTCTCTCTCTCTCTGTGTCGGGTGTTCTTTTCTGGGCCTTTGTGTCCCGGTTTCGGTGGCCTCCTGGCGACCTGCGGGGTTGCATGAGGAGGAGGAGGAGGAGGAGGAGGAGGAGGAGGAGGAGGAGGAGGAGGAGGAGGAGGAGGAGGAGGAGGAGGAGGAGGAGGAGGAGGAGGAGGCAGGAGGAGGCGGAGGAGGAGGAGGAGGAGGGAGGAGGAGGAGGAGGAGGAGGAGGGGGAGGAGGAGGAGGAGGAGGAGGAGGAGGAGGAGGGGAGGAGGAGGAGGAGGAGGAGGAGGAGGAGGGGAGAGGGGGAGGAGAAGGATGAGGAGGAGCCTAGAAGGAGGAGGAGGATAAGAGGAGGCCAAGAGGAGGATAGCCAGAGGATGAGCAGGCTTCTGGAAGGAGGAGGAGAAGGAGGAAGAGCAGGAGGTCAGGAAAGAGGGAGGACGGGGAGAAGGGGGCAGGCAGGCAGGGGGCGGAGGACCACGCGGCCGCTGCTCTGCGGGCCACCACTCTTGAGACGTGGGCCGGCCAAAAGGCCCTGGCGCTGCGGGGCCCAACGGAAGCAGCACCCGAGAGATCGTCGGTACGATGGGGTCCCCCGCATGGGGGAGAGGACTACGTACGGCTGCCCCGACCCTGGCTGACCGGCAGCCCGATGAATCGTGCGTTTGGTCGTCCAGGCGGGGTCCCCGGAAGTCCCGACCCGTGCCCCAGGGATGGCTTCTCTCCTCCCGAGTCGTTGCTTGCTTTCTGTTCCCCGGGGCCTGGCGAGGGCCTCGCGGGGGCCAGAAGCGGCGAGAGCCACGTCCGCCCTGGGCCTTCTGCCGATGCGCGGGAGGCCTGGGGGAGCGACGGCAGGTCGGCGAGATCGTGCACGGGTGCGTGGACGACTACCACGGCGCCCCGAACAAGAACATCGGGGACTCCTTCCTGCTCGTGTGGCGCTGCACGGAGCACCACGAGGAAAGACAGGCCGCTGCCCCCCCCCCCCGGGGGGCGGCCTTCGTGGGCTGCCCAGGAGAAGCCAGACGTGCCCGGGATCCGCCATCATCGACCTCGTCTTCGTCGTCCTCGACGGGGGAGGAGGAGGAGGCGGAAGTAGAAGAAGAGGAATTGTATGCACATCGTTTCCCGGAGTTCCGCGCAGGCTTCTGGAGCGTTTGCTTGGCTTGTCGCGCCCCTGGTTCTGGCCCATCACGCTTCGGCCCGACACGCTATGCCATTTCCCCTCCCCCTTCGTCCCCCATTCCTTACGTCACCGTCTTACGTTTCCGCCCGCTCCCCCTCCCTCCATTACAATGAACCGTTCGCCCCCTCCCAGTCTCTTCATTCCATTGCCCTCCCACCCGCAATCCCGAGGGAACAAAAAAGGAACTCATGAGCGCGACGACAGTTGCGACTGGGCTCCCAGGATCGCAGAGGGAACGCGCGGGGTGTTACTATCGTGTGCAAGGAGTGCGAAGTTCAGCACGCAATGTGTTGCATTTTGCAGCCTCATGTCACGCAGTGCACTTTTCGACACGGCATTTGACACCTACGCCAAGCAGCACCACTTTCGTCGACACCCACAGGAAACAACGACGTATTCTTCGACATCTAAACACGGTTACACCCTTCTTCAACAGTAGCGACATTTTTTTCCAACGACTACACAGAGCAGCTACACTCTCTTCGACACCCACAGAACCAGCGATGCTTTCTTCGACACCTACGAGCAACAGCAGCACTTTTAGCAACACGTTCGTCGACACCTACGCACGCTGTGACCACGCGGGCCATCAAGAAGTTGATCCAACATAAACGCCCGTGGAGGTCAATGTGCTCATCACGGGAAGCAGACATCCCCTCCTCACCATTATTCTGCCTTTTCCCTACCTGCCCTCTTGGTTCCCTCTCCCAGCCCCGCCCCATTCCCCGCCGCCTCTCTCTCTTCCTCCTTTTCCTCGTCCCCATTATCCTGCCTCTTACCCTCATCCCACTCGTGCTGGCCAGGGGGTTATGGAAGGAGGCCTGGGCGCAGGCTCCTGTCTCCAGGACAGTCGAGCTTGGCCAGTCGTGTCATCCGTTCCCTCCGATCACGGAGCGGTTCCCCCTCAGGTCAAATTGGCCGACATGGCCATCATGTCCTTCGT